CAACTTCGCACATCATAAAGTCAAGTAAGACTATGATGTGCGAAGTTGCCACGTATGCTAAGCTTACTCGCATCTCGAAAAATTTCGCGAAACTCAAAACTTTAGATTAAAATTACTTCACTAATGTATGGTCAAAGTTCTCCAAATTAATACACATGCTTTAAAAGTGTTTAAACTAATTTTTCTCAGATTTTTGTACATGTTTTGAGACTAATTCAATTGCTAGAGCGAAATTTGTTGCTCACTCGTGAGGTTTTGTTCGCCGTTGCCATTACCGTAATGTTAAATGATACTAAAAATCTTAAAGTTTAAACGGCTATATCTCAGAATCTGTACGGTGGATCGACTTGAGATTTAACACAGATATTTGAATTAATTTTTTCAAATATTCAGAAGATTTTTGAGACTTTTAATTTAGGGTTGCACACGATTGACGCCTCTAACATTTTATAGCAACCAAGACACGATTAACACCTCTGGTTCTTGTAAAATTAGCCAGCCTGCAAGCAGGCATTATTCTGTCTATATCTACATGCAAAAATAAGATAGAATAATGTTTTCAGCTCAAAAACATAGAAGCAAACTAACAATTACGCTACCGTATAATAGCATCTCATAACTGCCAAACGATCACACGTCGGTTTGCTTCTCGCATTCAACAAACACACACGCGTGCACGCGTACATGCACCACGCGCACGCACCACGCACACGCACCACGCATACGCACAAAGATATTTTTTATTCCAACCTCACACTCATACTTTTTACTCTACAATGACTTCTATACAGCAAGACATTAATAAAGAGACTGACACGAAATTATCTGTCCTCGTTAAACAAATTACAGTGCCATCTACTTCGTTATCCGTGAACTACATTTACCATATTACTTTATGTCATGGTCTTGTATACAGGTCTCCCGACTGCCTCTAATTTTCGATGGGGTAGGTCGCTTAGTGAGGAAGTTTTGTAGTTCTTGTAATGGCCACTAGCGTTGCAGTCTATGTTCTTTTGGGGGCGAGGGACGCTGGAGGCCGAGGGGATATGTCAAGTTTACCGTGCATGGGACAAAGACAGACAGATATCCCTCCCGGCCTCCAGCGTCCCTCGCCCCCAAAAGAACATAGACTGCAACGCTAGTGGCCATTACAAGAACTACAAAATTTCTTCACTAACAATAAGCGACCTACCCCCACCATATGAGTTGCAAGACCTGTATGTAAGACCGTGCTTTATGTAATTGAAGTCCGATAAACCTACAAATTGTAATTTTTTACGCTCGTGAATGTTTTTACCTCTTGTGACAAAATAATATTAGAGCGACTTGTAGACTGCACAGTTGAACATTTTCATATAAAAAAACATTGAGGTTTGTGAGGTCTTATTTGTATCGCATTATGTTTTTGAAAATTTCAAAGACATAATGCGATACACATTAGATTTGAAACCTCAATGTTTTTTTATATGAGAATGTTCAACTGTGCAGTCTACAAGTCGCTCTGGTATTATTCTGTACATAAAAGCCAATAATAAGATTTACAAACGCAAAAACTGTATATAACTCTATCGGTAAATCAAACCATTCCAGCATCCCCATTCAAAAATGCCCCACCTGCGGTTCCAGTATTAACCTTATTAGAATTGTTGAAACAGTCTTGATGTTTGCACAGGAAACATCAGCGCGCAAAATAAAATGTATAAGAAAATATACGTTTTATTGAAATAATATGTTTTTATTGTATTCTATAAAAAAGGATACAACGGAGAAAGAAGTGCACCTGTTAAAAGGTCGTGCGTCGACATCGAGAAGAAACAATAAAGGATAAATGACTTTTCGCTCAAGATTTGTCGTTAATAACAATCTATTCTTAAGTACGAGCTATGTAAACGCGATAATTAAAGAAATGTAACTTCCTGGGTTATAAAATATTTATAACCCAGCTGTAACTGTTACGTATCACTAATTGCTATGTAAAAAAGAATAACTAAGCTTAGCATGTAATTAATAATTATTAACTTTTGTTTCAGCTCTAGGTCTGAAATAAATTCACAATATGTGATTTCAACAATATTTCTCATACATTATAGGTCATGATAGTGCGTACGATCGCGAAGCGTCACCACCGGTGATTATGACTTGTTTCTCTCTCTCTCTCTCTCTCTCTCTCTTTATCACGATCGTATAATCTTGTGTTAACTTGGCTTAAGTACGAGATTAAGAGTAACAGTCTTTATGTAAGCGATATATCATAAGATTTCACGACACACTCGTACGAAAGATTTTATCAGATTCAGATTAAAGATTCAGAAACATATTATTTTACTTAAGAAAATAGACGCGATAAATCAAACTGCTAAGAATAAAAACTTAATTTATTTAAATCTGATTTATGGAAAAAAAACTGTTTTATATGTAACAAATGCAGCAACGTGCAAAAAAAAGTACTAAAAAGGTAACTATTTTTTATCGTCATGTAGAAAAAGCAAAGGAGCAAAAAGCGAGAACTTAACTCGTTATTACATATTATCTTGTTACGTCAGAATATTAAAAGTAAATTTTGTTTCGTTATACATACTATCGATCGTATTAGAGAATCATTTTTTCTCATAAAAGGGAACGCTTCAGCTCGTGGTGCTAAAACGAGATCGTACTTTCACTATATACATTCGCATATATTTCAATGTGGAAATATTACCAGGTGATTGACTAATTTTGCTCAAGGTCCTAGTCTAGTTAACATACTTTCTCAAAATATTGAAAATCAAAATGATCAAAATCAATTTGAGCTCAGTAAAACTAATATTGTCGCTGCAGTAAAAGTACGTAGCAGTTACCTATTAGCGAGTCAATAAGATTCCTAATTATAACTTGACATAGATTTATTTTACAGAATAGATAACGAAAGATAGAAACGCGTTTAGTCTTCTGCTTGATGTAATGCGGGAAGACTCAAATTTGAAGATTGAGTACACTAACAATAAGAAAGAAACAAATATTGCGATGCAAATATAGTTTTATGCAATATTTATTCAAGAAAGCATATTTTTCTCTATAGATAAAAATTTTTCTTATAGATAGAAACTAGATTAGGACCTTAAAAGATTATATGTATACATGAAAATCTCCCAAATCGTCTAATTTATCAACAAAATCGTAGACTTATCATCATCATTAATTAACATAAACATGTTAGATGTATATATATATACATATATATATATAATATCTCAATATAATATATTTTAAGGCCAAAACTCTTTAACTATTCATCGTTCTCAAGTCCCGTTATCTCGTATACAAGCTTGCCAGAGGTAAATCACACACAAACGAACAATTATCCGCATTTAAAATTAATTAATATTATTTAATAATTTTGAAATTTATTAAAACAATTAACTGCATTAAAATTATCGAATGTTTAAAATTAAATTTTTGAGACAATAAAATAACAATGACTAATATAAACTGTAGAGATGATAATGCGCGCGCGCGCGCGCGCAATCTCTCTCTGGATGTTGCATCTTGAAAATTTTCACTACGTATTATACTCGATTGTCAGGGACGGACAGTGAGGTCATTTAACATAAAAATGAGAAATGGTCTATTTGACACTATTGGCCCCTCCGAATAGTAGGAGGTTAATTTTTTCGACTATTCGCAGCGCGAATAGCATTTAAAGTCTTTGCAAACCATAGACATATGTAAATGCAGTAACATGAAAAAATACTATTCCATCGCTGCAAATATAACGACTGCATTTAAAAGACACAACGGTTATGGAATCAATTGAGTGAACGTGCGATTTAAGAATAATGAATTGTACGAAACTAATAATTATGATATTATTAGATATAATAGCATATTGTACAACAAATATAAAAATATTTAAATCAATATTATTGCAAAGGCAATTGCGATTACCTAATATTTTCCACAGAGACTCATAGAGAATGAGGCTATGTATCAAAAGCATAAAAATTATTCGAAATAAGTAATCTTATTTACAAAAGTCTAAAAAGCTAAATCTAAATTTACTCAACACAAAATAGTCAATATAAATGCATTTATGCAACACAATATTTATAGCGTATAAATCTTCTTCGCACAATTTTTTTGAAAAATTGTAAAGGTGATTTCGCGATTTTATACGTTGTAAAATATTAAAATACTCACAGAGTATAGCGTGTTCACCCAATTGTTATGTAATCATTGCATTTTTCAAATACAGCCATACGATGATTACGAGTAGCACTTTTTAAATTCCATAACTGTTTATATGCGTATAAACACTTATGTACTTGATCACACGGACGATTGTATCTTCGGCGGAGGTAGCGTGGTCAATTAACCCATTGCCTTCTCAACTCATCCGCAATTGATTAAGCACGAAATAGCCTTTTTCTCCCATCGTGTCAAGAACTAATTGACAAAAGATTAAAGAAGAGCGGAGGGCAAATGGCGCTATACTTGACCGCGAAATATTCGTGATTCGGCGGGCGTGAGAAATGGGCTAATCGACGCGATTAACAGGTTTTAACTTCTTTAATTTATTTTTTAATCGCTAAAAATGCTTAACAACTGGGATAACGATTTTTTGCCTCCCGAAATACATCGCGAGCAAGCTCTTAAATTTATTGCTTCTTCTAGTCTAAAACTGTCCCGTACATAGGACTTCGGCGCTCAACGGTAACGTTTCGCACTGTTCTGCACTTCGCGTCGAAGTCTCCGCAGAAGAGGAAAGAAAGAAAGTTTTAAAATTGATGAAATCTGCTGAGCGCCGAAGACATGACATCACAGTAAAACATCCAACCGCTCTTTGTTCGTAGCCGATGATTTATTATTAGTATATCGAAAATACCGCGGCTATACGGCGGCGGCGGCGGCGGCAGCGCAGCACAATCTCTTCATCAACGACGTGAATTAATAAAATATTGACAATGTACAATAATCAAATAGATGCTCTTCGCTGTATAACGATTGATATATGAAAATAACAGAAAGCGATCGACGGTCTGTATTAAGCCGACGTTTAATTCTAGTGCGTCGTCAAATGCTTTCTTTTATCCCTTCTACCGCTTTCACAGGCAGTACTAAAGCTAAGAATCTGCCACGAATAGCGTAATATGTACAAGGGCGAGAGATTAATATTTTAGCTTTTTTGGATTTCGTTTTGCGAGCGACGACGACGATGAAAATACTGATTATTGATATTTTGGCAGCCGATGTTCGCTCTAAGCGAGTAGTAATTAGCTCTATTACTGGATAAGGAGAATGTACTCTGTTTAGCAATACACTTCCAGCTGTGCACACGGTCGATCCAGCTTTCTCGATTATCTATCTTAATGTGGATTGTCCAGTACCAAGTTTTGTCTTCGTACTTTCGGGGACGTAAAAACTCGTTTGCGTGAACGCGCATACGAGTAAAAAGAACCAATCAACGTCAAAAGCAGGCGGGCAGTGGTTTCTTGATTTTCTTTCTGTATTAATATTTGTGTTAACATTCGCGCGGCCGATCGTCCTTTCGTCCTTTTTCCTGCTAAGCGGTCCATCACGAGGCACTTGGACAAATCGACGTGAAGTTATTGCAGAACCGGATTACTTTTTCGAAGATATGGATTATCGTATCCAGTCGTACTTGATCGTTGCCGGGGAACCAGCGAGATACACCAGCAATCACGAATCTCATGCGTACGGTTCTCACGCTTGAGTGGCGCATGAGTGTTGCTGCAAAAATACGAACAGTCCACCATACGAATGCACACAACACTCGATCTGGCCTCGTTTTTGACGCTTCGCTGCTTTCATTTAGATTTTCACCTGCGAATTACGTGGACGTTGATGGCGACGACAAGACCTGATCCGGTTGATAATACCTCAGGCCATTTATCTGTAAAGAAAAATAAGCTCGAGTGAGAATAATTGGAGACCTTTTCCATTCAAAAGTCACTTTGTTGCTTGTATCGTACCGTCATGTCGTATTCCGTGATGTACGCTGGGATCTCGAGTTGGTCAGGCGGCATAACTTCATAAAGATATTCTACTCCAGGCAAATTGTGAACCTTTTGCTTAATAGCTGGAGCCATGAAGGTCGTGAACCACCACGTCATCATCTATAACAAACGATCAATTGCATCTATTTAGAGAAAATTGGAGTTTCTTTGATGTAAAATCGTAATGGGAAGAGAACAAGTAGAAATAGAGCCTGCGCAGAGATGATAATATTATTTTCACATTGCAATTTATTACTAAATATTTTTAAATAATACAAAATAATTGTCGATTACTCCGCGGAACTGTAGTTACTAACGAAGTACGAATAGCCAGGAAATTCGATACGATCGTTCCGAGGATAATTCGTCATGCATAAACGTGGGAAATGCAATAACGACGTTCATTAACAGCGCGATTTTGCGTCTCAAGCAACGTTTATTAAGCATAAAGAGCCCGAGCTCGTTATATCAGCATATAATTACGACGCGATGATACTGTTACTAACCTTGGTCCAGAAGGTAGGATGGATAATGTAGAAATGTTTTAGATTCTTCTTATACCTGTAAAAGAAATACTGTCATCAAGATCGCTATCAAATTTCTGCAAACGAACGGAATCAAGTTGCATAAACAGCAACTCGATGCAACTTGCCGTTACATAACTAGAACTAATTTAACAATATTTCAGTTTCATTCTTTTCTTGGCGATGTAAGAAAATAAAGATTCTATTTTCATCTGTACATGTGACACTATCGGAATATTCTCTTCTGTCTTGGCAAAGAAAAGAACTGTAAAAAGAACTACATTTTTATTCTTTTACTTTTTCATTTATTAAATATTGTAAAACGTTAGCTTTTTGATAAATAATCGAAAGATTGTTGCCACATTTCTAATATATCGCTCAAATATCTGACTTTATCCTTTACGTTGTACGTACCGTAAAGACGTGCTTGTGATTCTACATTAAAATACGATCAATAGGTTCAATGCGTTCGATATCTCAAGCGTACAACTTACTTGTAGGGAAGCACATTGTAGACTTCGCGCAGCCAGTGTAAACTGGGGTAATTGCTGCTGGCCGTAAGGGTGTGGAAATACGCGATAACGTAGTCTCCCTTCACGATAGGATCCAGCAATTGTATCACGTACAGCAAGGCCTAAAATCACAAGAGACAGTGATAAAAAAGTAAAAAAAATCAGTGTATTTCGCCGGCTTTGCTCGCTATTGTCGTACGGAAAAAAACCAAAGCGATACATTCTTTAAAATAGTTGGAAATTTATTTTGCATAAAAAAAAGACGCGCGTTGTCAAAGTGGAGTAGAGAAACAGGGGTAAATATGTCCTAAAATAAACGCTGCGTAAATATTCTCGGGATCGATGGGACGTCAGCGACGAGATATACAGAATGTATTTCGCAAGGCTTTCCTACGTCGTGGAATATGCGATGTATCCCCTGCTGTTTCTATTGAAAGAACCAACGCTTCGGTTTCATTGTGATTTCATCGTTTCACCTTTACGAGAAATCCGAAGGTTCGAGACCGACAAATGTCGGAGTTTCAGGCGATCAATGAACTTACAGCAACATATATAATATATGTACCGTAAGCTCGATAGGGTCACAGTAAGAAATTCAGGCTGCGACAACGTAGGTTTGTACTCTCGAAATTCACGTAATCACGAGAAAAAAAAACAAAATTTCCTCTTGCATAAATTATAGTCATTTCTTTGATACAGAAATCGATGTCTTCATTAAATGGCCTGGAAAAATTGACTTCAACGATGTTGTGACATTTGAAGAGCCATTCAGTTGTCATCATATCAATATTCATGACTAACATTTACAAAATTGTTATCTACAATTCTTATGTTACCTCCATGATATTATTCCACATCAGCTCTCTTCACTCTTATTAATATACAGCCAATAACATTCCTGGAAAAGCGACGTAGACTTCGAAATTACTTCACAAACGTATCCTTACGCGAGCCAACTATGCGTGTCCGATTATCATCAAATCATATCATCATGCAATACGTGCGGCAATCGTTATTATCTGTAATCTCAATGTGAAACAAAGGAGAAGTTGAAATTTTTTCGCTCTTAGAACTTCTGTTCGAACGGGAGTTCCAAGGCGAGAAGATCGATGAAAGGCAAATCGGCGGTGCTGTCGAGGAACTCGCGCCAAGCCGAAATCGATGCTAATTCCGTAAAATTGCAAAACGCGCCACCGTCTGTATCGCGGCCCTGAAGACACGTTATCTCAGGTCGCTGTGTAATTAGCATTCTAACTGAGCGTAAATGTTTCATCCCGAAAGCGGGTCAGTGGATACGAAACAAAGGCGCGGGGCTGGATTGAACAGTTGTTTAAATTAACAAACTTAATGGAGGCTTTGGTATTAATAGCGGACGCTATTGCGCACGTCGAATCTCTCGTCTTGGAACACGCACCTCGCGCGAACGCTATGTGTGTACATGACGTTGTTTCAACAGCCGCTGCATGGCAGCGTATATTTTTAGCTGTACCGACGAATCTTTACGTGACGTCATTGACATTCTTATCTCGATTAGAGTCAAAGTAGCGAGGCACCTCATCGTACCGGTGATCCAGCGCCATCGGTGATGGATCGCGATCGGAATAAAAAAAGATCCGATAGAGGCGAAGCTACAGGCTTCTCTTGCCTGCGCGGAAGATATGGAACACGCGATCAAGTAACTAGCAACGCACGGGTCACGATGAAAACATGGATTAGTGTGCGTAGAGATGATTTACAAAGTTGCATGTGCTTTCTTTCTTGAACTGTAGATCGAGCTTTCTCGCTCGATCAAAAGCGGCTTGAAAACCGCGAGTTTTGAAAAAGACTCTCTGTAAATTTGAAAAATGTTTTACTTGCTTCGTCAGAATGTAATACAAAGACCAGTTGTTTATTTCGTATTTCATTGAACTTGAACATCTCTGTCGCTATCAGCGATCGCAAAATATATAAGAAAGAAATTACTGATAAAAGGCATTAGTGTCAAAATGTGTGAGGAAGGTTGACATGTCAGAAGTTGATTTATCCGTTTTTTTTTTCGTCAACTGCCAAAGTTCATGCAAGCTACGGTGTTAATCGACGAAGGGAAAAAAAAGAGCCGTTTTAACGATCGTATGCCTTCTTTCCTTAATCACCGACTATCCCACATTATGCCGCCCGATGATATCCGCAAGTCGTTGTCAGCGTAAATGAGTTAATAGAGTGAGAAAGTTTCATTGAGGCTAGGGGTTCGCGTCGCAACGACGTTGCAGTCGGTTCTCGCCCTCCCCGTGGAGGGACTCGTTCCGCGGTCGGTCTATTTCTGGACGTGTAAATATCGATTCGCCACCCGCCGCTATATCTCACTGCGTTCCGGCTATGAGCAAAGTAAGGATGAGTCCGACGGGGAAAGGAAATGACACAACGGGACACAACTGGCGCAAAGATAGGCGCCAAATGATCGAGGCTTGGCCTGGACGCGACGCAGTCGAGCGGCATGCGCAAGTCTGCGATGCACGGACTCGTTAGAGTCGTCGTATCTAGGATACTTGAGAGAGAGGTAGAGAAAAGAGGGTACAATTGCCCGGATATGTCTGTAATCGAGAAAGATACTTTTTCCATGATTTTTGAAATGTTTCCGATATCCGATAAGAGAATTTGTATCCTGCGGATTTCGCCCAGCACGACCAGCTTTTTTTGGAAACAAATTTTCACATCCGCTGTCGAATACCTTTGAAAGTTATTTAAAAAAAAAAGTACTTCAAACTATTTGAGGTCGACTGTGTAACAGCGATAAAATTGATACAAATGTATGATATTTTTTATTGGGATTTATCGAAACAAAAAAGCCGTATTTACTCTCTCTTGGCAAAGTTAACTTGTCACGGAACTGCATCGTTATAACTTAAAAAACAAATGCTCAATAATGTTTTATTAAAATGTATTAGGGTGGCACGTGTACAATGGTGCAACATGAACGTACACGACAAGGGCGTAAGAATAAAGACAGTTTCAACAGAGGAATACTCTGTAAAACACTTTCTATTATACATTCCAAACGAATCGATTAAATTGCAAAGGGCAACCAAGAGTGACTATAGAACGGTAGTATGTACCGTTGCAATCTCCAAGTATTAGAGGACTATACCATAGTAAGACTAATGAAGATTTTGCGCGATATGATTTTCATTATTTTATTTAAAAAGATTATATGCCTTCCACAGCTCTATCGAGTTTCCACCGTTGAATGTTTTATCGGGCGAATGGTGGTACTTTCACCGTAACGTGTAGGCTGAGCGGCAGTTTTTCTCGCGCGGTTCATAACAACGCATTGATTTTCGAGGCAAAGGTCTTTACCTTATCTAGGTTGATTTTGGTGGCCGGGAACCATTTGCCGACGAAAACCACCACCGGTCGGCCCTGCCGGTCCACGCCGCTCTGGTACAAACAACCGATCCCCGAGACTTCAGTCAGGTCCTCCGTCTTCGCCCTCCTGAGGAGCCTTTCGTACCTACAAAATAACGATTTCGTTCGCCTTGTACGTTCATAAGCTGTTTCTTCTACCTGTGTTAATAATATCGCTCGATTATATTTTACGGACACGGTTCGTTTTCAGGGTTACGATAAGTATACTTACTAAGTATATAACTAAGTATACGATAAAACAAAGTGCGCAATTATGGTTAAAATATTCATTGTAATGCCTTCAATGTATCCACTAATGGTTTTCGAAAATGTGTCCACTAATGGTTTTCGAAAGTGTATCCACTAATGGTTTTCGAAAATGCGCAGTATAGGCGCCTGTACGTTTACCTGTGTACCTGTATCGAAAAGATTTTCAGTAACTAGTTCTTGAAACTTTCAAGTAAGATGGAAACGCGACGGAAACATTGTGGTTTGCCGTAAATCTGAATCTGTTTTCGCATACAAATAGGACTGTCGAAGAGAGCATCGTTAATTTAAACGAAACAAATCCAACAACGTTGAGTTTGAAGGAAGATGCGTGACGCGGAAATGTTGCTCGAGTCTTGCGGTATGACTTGTCATCTTGTAACTTTAATTACAACGCGGCAGATCGTGCCGCTTTGCATAACGTAAACCGCAAACAGTGACGTGCGTTAGAAAATGCAGTTTTACAAAACGTACAATTTTCATGGGTGCGTTCTATCGCAAACACCCAAGCCCCGTCGCGAACTTAACATTATCATTTCTAGCATCCACTCTACACTGGCCCTGTGCTCGTTGCATTTTTTTTTTTCCGAGTAGCCCGATGCAAAATGCATTCCGCGCCACATGTTAATGAAACTTCACTTAAATAAGTCGATCGGTTTTGAACTTGTTCCCTGAAGCTCGCCGAATGTAAATAAATGGGACAAATCAGCATGACAATGTCGCGCGTGAATTCCCGGATCGATCATCACCAGCTCCGGTGCGTTCTCCAATGGTAACCGGTATGGGAAATACACTGGACGGACGCCAATAAAAGAGCGGGGATCAATAGCGGGCCGATAACGAGACCGAGGTTTCATTCGTAATCGCGATCGACACGAGGTCCGACGACGCGCGAACGAACGGCGAGCGCTGCTCTCAATACACACCGGTCCTCGTCCTCGATGACATCCACCATGTCAATCATGACCATTCTGATGTCACGTTCCCCTCGTGGTTTCGCCTTCCGCGATTTTGCCTCGGTAAAAAAAAAACTGGCGGAGGGAAGGAAAAGACAGAACTGATCGGGCCCACTAGTAGCCGTGTGCGGTTGCCTTTTCCCGCGACATCCGTTTCAAGAAGGATGTCGGCCGCGACACGACGGGCGAGGGACCGCGTACAGTTCCGTCGTTCGATCGCGAGCACAAGTGTCGACGGAGGGAGGCGACGGCGAGGGATGTCGGCGGTACGGCGAGTCGCGGCAAACTGAACGAACCGAATCTCGTCTTGGTCTAGGGAAGGAGAGCCGCCTCTCGGTTGCGACGACGTCCGCGACGACTGTGCCGTCTACGAGGTGGTCCCGCACCGCGCCGGGTCCTGCCGTGGTGCCGCACGGCGCCTGCCCGGCTCGCGGTACGCTCTGCGTGCTCGATGCGCGCGAGGCGACGAGGCGCGGAGTAGGGATCGCGAGCCCCGTCGTTTAATTCGATTCGCGATGTGTATTCCTTTAATTACGAGTAATACACCGCCCACCAACCGGCCTTGGACGACTGTCAACCGCTTGTCATTCTCCGTGCCTTTTTGTAATCGTTTTCGTAATGGGCCGATCCGGAAACAGGAAGCTGGACTAGCGCTCCGTTCCCCGCCACTTGTCGTCCGGGTGTTTTAAATAAATAAGATAATTGCTTCTTTCAAGATGAGAAAAGTACGAATTTTAAATGCGCTCTACGTGTCATGCGTTTGCTTGGGGAATCGAATCTTCATCGTTGTCGAGCACGGTCTTGCAACTTTTGGGCGATAAATTCGGCGTGATTTAGATTAGCAATGACATTCGAATTGTTTGGATTTAAGGGCACAGCTGCTTCAGCGTGAATACAGATTTTCTTCGAAGCACCCTTTCGCGATCGATCATGTATTTTCGATCGGATTCGTGTCAGGCGAAGGCCAATTCAGAGAACGGATTACACTTCCATTTCGGTACACAAGCTATTGCGATGTTCTAAATCGTCTGTCTGGTTACATTTGACAGCAATGGAAATTGGACGGATTTATCAAACTTACAATTGAAAACTTCGGAATATATTTTAAATGTGCACGTGCATGTTTTTACTATAATAATAATAATTTTCTTTTGGTTCATGCAGATAACGCGGCCGCATAACAAACTATATTTAATTAATATTTGAAGGATCGCAATCTTGCTGCAATTAATCTATCAATAAAATTATTTTGTATTCATCAAATTAAATTATCAAATTTTTCTTCGATGTAATATAAGCTGAGAAATTTCGACGACTCTGAAGTACACGCATGGACGCATTGCATGTATCAACGAATTAGCATTTCGCTAAAATGTTCGTGCGCAGTAAGAACATTTGGCGTTCGGGATTATCGTAGACTGAAAAAAACAAATATACGCTTCACAGATTAATTATCGGGATATATTTCGCAAAATTTTAGTTGACTCGTGCGTATAAATAGCATATCCGAGAGAAAACAAAATCCCATAATAATTTTCATTGCTTATATAAAAAAGTAAGCATTTTAAAATAAATTAAACTGATAATTATTTAAAAACGAAATAACATTCTCAGACTATTCTTTCTAACGAAAAATTAGATAACAAATTACAAAGACGTTGATACTGCACGCGATTGCGTCACGTTGTTACTTAAGTTTGCAGTTTCATGACCTTGACTTCAATTAAACAGATCCAAGGTATGTTATCGAAAGTATGGCACAAAAGTATTCCCTAACGTATCTAGCGCTGTGAAATTGCAGATAAAAATAAAACCATACCTTTAGAATAGTTTAGAACGATAAAATATGGTAATATTCAGCTGAAACTTTTATTACACTCGGAGATAAATCGACATATTTTGTCATTTATTCCTTTCAATATTACGCGTAATATGCTGCTGATGTTTTATATGTATAATAAAATATAGAATCGATTATTATTTCACATCAGAGCAAAATACAGATCGTTCTAATTCGAAAAAGAGGCTCACGTAGTGAATCACATTCGTATAATCAATGGTTCGAGTCACACGTGGACTTGTCGTCGCGCTGTAATAAACCCGACATATCACGATAAAATGACGTCGATGACAATCTCAGTCTCGAAATAAACATTTAATACGACAGGCCTGGACGAATGATTTATTTCTATGACGCAAATGATATTTCAGCGCTGAAATCAATTAGGAAACAGGTATTACGAAGTAAACTTTGTATGTGCGTCATAAACGCAAAAGTCGATAAACGATATAATCATAGATATGATATCGTTTTGTCAACTGTAATACACATCAAATAATCAATATAAATATTTGTGATACGTGTGCAAACATATCGTTGTTAACTAATAATAAAAGCTGATAATAATATTAAAAAGAATTTGGTAACGAAGGATATAAAATTATATGAAAAGATATCTGAGTACATGAAATCTGGATAAATGAAAACTTTTTAGGAAAAAATAAAAACTCCCGAAGGTACACGGAGAGAATTTTCTCTTAAAACTTACCCTGAAAGTCATGTAATCGTGGGACAACGTGGCATTTCGAAGAACTTTATGCGGTTTTTTTTTAAATTTTACTATTAAATTGTATGGTAAAATTTCAAAAACTCTCCTAAAATGCTGCGTTGTCCCACAATTACATGATTTTCAGGATAAATTTTAAGAAAAAATTCTCTCTGTCTCTTCTTACTTTTCACAAAAGTTACACGTGTATAACAAAATATATTAAGCTATTTGCATATAAATTCAGATAAATATAAATTACCGTGCAAAAGTAATCAGTTTTGCTAATTATGAAAAGAACAATAAGCTGGAGAGAAGTTATAATGACTTCGGCATTTGCGATCAAATATTTGTGACCAAAATATCAGGACGGTCAAATATCCAATGTTAAACTTAATAATGGACTGGATTACAACTAGCTGACGTCCCTTGTATCCTTAAAAGTTCTCCATTCTTTTGGCATGTTCATAAATACAATGCTTTTTTCATTTTTATGTCGATATAGAAGGAATCTTTCAACTATTGTTCACTTGGCAATGTTCGACTCTTGATATCGGTATAGGAGAGACAGTACGAATATTACTTTTCGCTGTGCTGCTCGCTGGATAAAAGAGAGAGGGAGAGAAGCAGTGCCGTTGAGATCATAAAAGTCTTAGTGCA